TATTGCGTCGCAATGTTTTCTGTACAAGATTTAAGAAAATAGCAAATAATAAAGTTCACAATCACAAAATTTAAGCACAGTTGGTCGATTAATTGTGGAATCACACTTTTGACTCCAACTACTTTCGAGTCGGTTTAAAGARACAGAAATTTTTGATAAAAATTCTTTTTGTGACACACTCACCTAAATTTTTAAAAATTTTAAAAACATTTTCACATGGTTTTTTAGTTTGAAACGCAAACAGAACTTGAAAGTGACATTTTTTTTTCAAGTAGATACTCTGAAACGTCCCTGTCTTGTAATTTAGTTAGCCCTAAAATGTTAATAAATTCCAAAACGTAGCGCTTATCAATTATTTGAAATTTCTCTGTTTTAGTTTTGCCAATATTTGTCCTGATTCATATTTACTCGTAAATTACTAGAATTTTCCTTTTTTAGGTATAAAAAATAACAGCTCGCTTTCCTTGCTTATTAATTTTGTTTTATTGAATTAAAACAGACTATAAGTTCATAAAACGGTATAGCTCTCTACTTTTACTGTAKAAAAACTACAGTCCTTTTCGAAAAAAAATGCAGTTTATTTTAGTTGATTAACTTTGTTCATTTCTAATTTTGCCTAAAAATGGCTTTAAAAAAGCCAAAAATGATTATTCTCATTATCCTCAAAGTGGCCCATTTCATTGAAATAAAAACAGTTGTTTTTTTTGTTTTGTATTCCTTTCCTTAAATTCTAAAGCCTCTCTTTTCTCCTGCAAAAATCCTTGCGTTGTTTTAGTTAAATAATTTTGTGATGATTATCACTGGCCATTTTTGATAAACCAAAAAAAGTACATTTTTGTAGACTTAAAACAAGTCATTAAAAAATATTTGATTGCAACTCAAATTAAAATAAAGCAAAAGAAACCTTGGGACTTGCCTCGATTCAAAAAAAAAAATACAAGAAACGCAGTAATAATGAAGCTCTCAAAACAAGCAAAATTTTTGTTAATAAAAGAGGAATTGGCAAGTAAAATTCGCAGGGGTTCATTTAAAAATAAGCCAAATTGATCAAAACTAGCTAAATGACACATTTATAGCTGTTAAAATAAATAAAGTTAAAATAAGAGATGATGATTAAATTTTAAAACCCTCTAAGTGGCTTCTAAGTGAATATTGTTTAATAATACATTCATTTCTATTTTCAATAATTTAATTACAAACAAATTTATTAAATTATTATTTATTGTATACATTATTCGAAAATCCGCTATGTTTGTAAAATTTCACAGATTCTCAATTTTCCAATTTTCTTGACTTCGCTGAGTGCAATTTCGGTTTCTGCTTCTACACTGTTTTCAATCCTGGTTTCAATTTCGGAGAAAATCGTAAACACATTTTTGCCATACGTAATAAACGGAAACCCAAATTTCTTTCTGTAACTAAAAAAATAATGAGACATGAATTTCTGTGAAATTAAGAAAATTACCGTGCGTTTAACTGTCCTAGTTTTTGTTTATCGACAATAGTTAATTGATCTGCTCCAGAAATTTGCTGACACTGATCGAAATAAAGCATAAATTTGCTCAAATCTGACAATTTTGCAACTAGGTCGGGATACAGAYGCAAAATATTTTGTTTTTCTGCAAAAAAAAAAACAATTATGACTTGCTTGAAATTCAGCCACTCTTACCTTTTAAGGTAAGCTGATCCAAAAAGAAGTTGACTGCTGCTGAAATATCTGAAGCGTTTCGAAAAGGCCGATATTTGAGAATTCCTATAGCGGCAGCTGGATAATGTTCGATCACATTACCGAATATTTTAATAAAATGTTCACTTATTATATTATTGACTTCTTGTATTGTCAATGTAATCAAAAGCATCGCGCTCTGTTACTGACTAACTTCATTTATATTTTGTCTAAATATTTAAGAACATCACGTTATTTATATAAAGTATAACATCGACCCCTTTATTATTGTTGTGTATACAACATTGATAACCCCAAGAAACTTGATTTATTTACTATAATAACCATATATTTTTACTATTCGTTTGATAAAAATGCAAGGCTTTTCCTACTGTTTTTGTCTAAATAAATTTGTAGTTTATATATTTGAAATAATCAAATGAATTAAAACACTTAGTTAATATCGGACTTATAATCAGAGGAATATATTTCCTGTATTTAGTATTTTTAGGTATCCATAATTATTTCAAAAATGATATTAATTAATTCCTGCTATCGTCACACTTTTCATATCAYACTGTTTTTTAAACAAAAAAATATTAATTTATTTACGAAAACAAATTGTTCTCATTATAATTTGGTTTTGAAATAAGTATTTCTTTTTAGTTCACGGATATGTTTATTATAATTTTGTATAAACAGCGAATTGTGAATAGTAATTATCGCGAAAATATAATCGCACAGCACAAATAAACTTGTTTTTGGGTAAACGAGAACATTCCATCAACTTTTTACAAGAGGTTAAAGTGATAATACTAAAACAATATTTAAATTGACAAAATTCCGATTTTTGAAGTTCGCATCAGAATTATTTCTGTTGAAAAGTTATAAATACAGAGTGTAACAGGAGTGTTATAATAAAATATTTTTTTTTGTGTAAATAATCAAATCTTACCTGTCACATCTACTTAATTTTCAGAACGCCTCSTATACCACTTATTAGTCAGATAACGTTTCTTTTCACAATTAGTGTGTTGTGATAAAAAAAATGTAACACAATACCTAAAACGTATTGCTTTCGATGATTATACACAATGTCTATTTTTAAAATGAAATTAGACAAAGATTGGCAACAAATTACGAGTTAAATAATGTTTACTTAATAGTAAATTAAAAGCTAAGTAACTTTATGACAAAATTATTAGGTTGCACCTGTTTTAACAACTTTAAAAAAAAAATTGTGATATATGTAAAAATTAGTACTTATTCGTACAAAGATGTTACTTTAAGTCTAAAATTTAAAATTCCTAATGCTGCTTTCAAGTAGGTATAGGTAACTTTAATGAGATTTATGWTATAGAATTATTCAATAGAAGTTTAATTTTGTAATAAAACAATTAAATTAACTAGTAATTTTGATAAAAAATATCATTGTAAATAAAATACAGGGCAATTCACATAAAATGTAGACTCTGAAAGTGTTCAAGACGCAACACACAATACTTTGTCATAGGTGCCTTAAAAATTCAAAAATACTAATTACAAATCGGATCTACAATAGCTTTGTTAAATTTATGACTGCGTCTGACGTTTATATTTGATTATTTTTTTTGCAAAAAATTTCAGCAATGAAAAAACAGATATAATGTTAATA